TATGTAAATGGTGTAGTAAGTATGAAAATTCTTCCAAATATAAATAATGGTAAGAAAAACATCATCTGAAATACAGAAATAATGTAGGCCTACATAAAGTAAGATTTAAAAACAACCTTATGTCTGGGATGTGATAAAAACTGACTGTTAAAGGTATGGGTGGAGGATTTCGGAAAGGCTAGCAATAGCGAGCTAGCTTTGAAAGCAAGATCCCACATTCCCTGCTAATCACTCTGCAAATCCACGCCTCCTCCAAAACACATGAATACACAAAGACAGACCAGAGGCTAACCAGCGACACAACGAGGACGCTGAGGATTGAATGCAACGCTGTCAGATTACCTCATGTCTCATTCACCTGTATAACATTACAGTACAAAGCGCATAATATTACAATAATAACGGCTTCCATTCTCGCTCGGTCTGCAATAGTGTAATGAACGCGCTGATGGCGTATCATGTCTGCGTAAACAGGGTGTGCAGAGGTATGCAAATACATATTTTAACAGGCAGGCAGAACATCCAATCATAATGTTCGGACCAAATAATCTGATTGGTAGAACATTTTATGGTCCTACGCCTTCCACAGACAATATACATATAAATATTTTTAAACCACATAACTTAGTGATTGCTATCAGGACGTGAAGAGACTTTCAACCAGCATAACAAAAAAATGTTTTTGAACCAAATCACCTACCCTGCCTTTTAAGGAAAGGATGAGGAATACGAAAAAAAAAAAACTGCATACGAACATTTCAGACTCAACATTTCAGTGTGCAAGGACCTTTACAGTGCAGCTTCTGCATATCTATCTTGTTGCAGTGCTTGGCGTAAACCACCGATCTATATAATGACTGGATCGCTCATTGTGCTCTAAAATGTCATCAGGCGGTGAAGTGTTCGATCGGACATTTTACTATTCCCTACCAGCAGAGAGCATGACTGACAGCCAAAACACTGACCGAAAATCACCCGATCTGAAGCGTATCAGTCACACAGCATTAGTTTTTAGGATATGTGTAAATACATTTTTACTTCAGATTTTATCTGCAATGTTTAAAGTCTTCCCTGTTGAAAAAAACAGCATATGCTGGTTAGGTATGTTTTGACGCTGGGATGCTGGTTTAAGCTGGTCCTTTGCTGGTTTAAACTGGTCCTTTGCTGGTTTAAACTGGTCCTTTGCTGGTTTAAACTGGTCCTTTGCTGGTTTAAACTGGTCCTTTGCTGGTTTAAACTGGTCCTTTGCTGGTTTAAACTGGTCCTTTGCTGGTTTAAACTGGTCCTTTGCTGGTTTAAACTGGTCCTTTGCTGGTTTAAACTGGTCCTTTGCTGGTTTAAACTGGTCCTTTGCTGGTTTAAACTGGTCCTTTGCTGGTTTAAACTGGTCCTTTGCTGGTTTAAACTGGTCCTTTGCTGGTTTAAACTGGTCCTTTGCTGGTTTAAACTGGTCCTTTGCTGGTTTAAACTGGTCCTTTGCTGGTTTAAACTGGTCCTTTGCTGGTTTAAACTGGTCCTTTGCTGGTTTAAACTGGTCCTTTGCTGGTTTATGCTGGTCCTTTGCTAGCACATGACCAGCATAAACCAGCAAAGGACCAGCTTAAACCAGCATCCCAGCGTCAAAACATACCTAACCAGCATATGCTGGTTTTTTTCAACAGGGTTTTCAAGCAGGATAAGCCATATATATTAAATCGTTTAGGTGATAACTGATCCTACACAAAATATATTTCTTTATGTAATTATGCAGGAAATATTAAACATGAACATATATCTGATATTAATATCAGAAATTGATTTGAATATACAATAAATATTACAATACAAGCCTCTGTTGCTATGCTGCTCTATATTGTATTGAAATTCAAAGCTTACCATGCAACATCTTGGAAATGAAGCTTCATGTCTTTAAGTCTGTACTGTATCTTGTCAGCACTAGCCTATTTCTCTGAATGATGTTATGATGTATTTATTTTTGTCCTAATTGAGCAACATCTATTTCAAATAGTGAAATAGATTCTATTTCAATAGAAAATAGATTCGTGCAAATTCTAGCATTAGGAGTGAAATGTTATGTATATATTATTAAATTAACCAACGTTGAACTCAACTGCTTCAAGATGCATGCTGTTAATGAAATCATTGTTGAAACATTTGCAGCAACAAATAAAAACAATATAACAACATAATTACATAAACAGTGAATAATTGTACAAGGCGAATTAAGATATATGCACAAAGAAAGTATACAATTTTATTCAGATTTCAGAAAAAGCACTTTGTCATTTGTAATACATTTGTTGAGGATCTCATCCATCTGATGTTCGCTACTGTAATGAATATAATATGTATTTATTTTAAATAGGCAGGGGAAATTCCCAACATTAAACAAATAACTTTTTACATGCAGCACGTTTGCATTGTAAGAATGTACAGGAAACCTTCAGATATAAAAACACTGACTCGTTAGGTGATGTTTTCTCATTAAGATGGTAAGATTTACTATTAATTCAATAGAACTTCTGGGAATACTAGGGTATACCAATATGGCGGTGCAGTGGCTTCACTTCTATGAAATCATGAGCAAACTAGTTCTCTATTATAGATCAGTGGTGTAAACTTATAATAACGGATTACTACGGACACTTAACAGACACACGCACACAGCGGCCATAAAGGCATCAAGACACATCAGATTGTCTCTAATATATCGCTTTAACTCAAACAACTTGTTTTCATAATCCTCAGAAGTCAAACTCAATCGAAAATAAAATACCATTAATCGCACAGCCCTAAAGTACAAGAGAGACCTGCTTCTAAATTGCAAAATAACGAAAACACGTCAGTGATGAATGTCTTGATATTATCGCAAGTAGAAACAGTTGGCAAGATACAGTTAGCTTGATCATATTTATGTAGCTATAGTAAACTGTAAGGCCCAATCCCATTTTTACCCCCTAGTCCTTCCCCTTTCCCCTACCCTTCTGTTTGGTGCATTCACGTGAAGGGTAGGGGTGTCTCGATTCTCTTTTGGTTGGAGAAGTAGGGGAAAGGGCCAGATAGCCCTTCAAACAAAGATTTTTCGGGACCACACTTCAAACGAAGGGGTATGAGGATTATCTCAGCGGCTGCCCGAGCGAACAAAAAGACCCACAAATGTAAGCATTATTGACGTTAATAAAGATTGTAATGAGCATAAATCATTTGTTTTATGTTACATTCAATCGTGTGTTCATATTTACGGTGATGTTATTCAAAGAAACGTTCGCAAAAAAATCGCTAAAGTTTGCTAATGTCATATCATTACAGACTGCACAATACAACATATGTTCATGTCTGATCAGGGCTGTTAGAGGGGGGCTATAGTCCTCCCAATAATTAGAAATGGCTTTTTCTCAAATATTGCCAATTTGAGAGAGAGATAAAAGTTGCATGTGCACGTCTGTGCGTCTCTCTTTAATGAGCGAGTTTACTTCAAAACGGATTTTTATCCTCTTGTTGCAGGAAAATATAATGTAGCGATTCAGTTTTTAAACTGTTATTAAAAAAGTCGTGGGGCAGTGTTGACAAGTTTCTTTGCTCCTGGAAGTGTGAGCTCCGCGATATCTGATATGTCTGTGTGTCAGTAAGCAGCGCATTTAATATAGAACAGTAATTAAAGGCTCTAATGCACACCAGCACACCAGTATAGGTGTATAGGATGATGACGTATGATGACGTGTAACGGTATAGTAGTGGTGTCCCAATTCTTAGGGGCCTATTTTCACCCCTACCCCTTGACACTCTGTTTCAAGGGACAAGGGGAAGGGATAGGCGTAGGGGTATAAAATAGAATTGGGATTGGGCCTAAGTGTATTTCCTTAATTTCCCCAGCACTTAAATGCAGAACAGTTAACATTCGCTTTTCGATACTACAGCCTTTCTTAATTTAGCCCCAGAGCTGGTTTAATACCGGGTTCAGGTATTCAGTCTGTCTTACAAAAGAAGCACAGAAGAATCAGTTGCAAAGCTACATGACAGTAGGGCTGTGCAAATAATCGAATGTGATTGTCATGTGCATCTCGTCAGTAGCCGGTTCTGTGATTAGCCGTAGTTCACTGACAAGCTATGCAATATCGCGTTCATAATCACTGGCGATTCATCGCCGATAATGAACGCGATATTGCGTAGCTTGTCAGTGAACTACGGCTCTGTGTAGTAAATGCCGCTCCATCTGAAAGCACGTGCCCTTGGCAGCATCAGATCTGAAAATGCTGGATCTGAACATGGTCTACTTAGGGCTCATCCACACTAAGCCAGAGCTTTCCCTATCCAATCTTTTATTTTCTTGTTCTTCCGTAAACACGGCGTCGTCTCAAGGAATATCTGCGTACACACAAAACCACTGAAACGGACTCAAAATGATGTAGTATTCATGCCAGACCAGTGTGTGGCGCTGTAATTCTGCCACAGAGATACACTAAAAATGGAGAAGACGACTTGGAGCATGTGCATAAACCTTGGGAGCCTATATACAAACCCAACACGATAACAAGAAAAGCTAGTAAAGTTAGTTAAGCTAATGGACTCAGTAGCTTCTGCAGCACAAACACAAGCATGTAGTCTGCCTTTGTTGTTGTTATGTTACATAGCTGTGTCTGACTAGGGTCGAGACATGGGGTGATGAAATCATTGTTTCACAAAATTTACGGCTTGGCTGTACACACAAAACGCAAAGGTGTCATAATTTTCAGATTCATCCACTCTGGGACCCGGTTTAAAAAAAAAGCGTTTTCAGGCTCCCAAAACGCTGGATCCATCTGTACGAAATACCGATACGATACAACATTTTTATGTATACAGCTAAATGCGTCTCCGTGTGTACGGGGCCTTACTGTGATTGTTTTTTGTATGACTGTGTAGAGCAGATGCACGATTGAAACACTTCCCACATGCAGTGCAGTGATACGGTTTCTCTCCAGTGTGGATCCTCTCATGTGCTTCCAGGTCTCTTGACCGACTGAATATCTTGTCACAGTGTGAACACTTGTAAGGTTTCTCTCCAGTGTGGATCATTTCATGTGTTTTCAGATTTGATGAATGACTGAATCTCTTGTCACAGTGTGAACACTTATAAGGTTTCACTCCAGTGTGGATCCTCTCATGTATTTTAAGATGTGCTGACTGACTGAATCTCTTGTTACAGTGTGAACACTTATAAGGCTTCACTCCAGTGTGGATCCTCTCATGTGTTTCCAGGTCTCCTGACCTATTGAATATCTTGTCACAGTGTGAACAATTGTAAGGTTTTTCTCCAGTGTGGATCATTTCATGTGTTTTCAGATTTGATGAATGACTGAATCTCTTGTCACAGTGTGAACACTTATAAGGTTT